TAACTCTACCGGTATGTGATAATGATGACGATGGTGGTGGTGGTGATGATGATGATGATGATGATGACGAAGACGACAATAATGGTGTTGAAAATGATAATGATGATGTTGAAAATGATGACGATGATGATGATGATGACGACGATGATGATGATGATGATGATGATGATGATGATAACGAGCACGTTATATTACCACGCCGGAATCAGTCATATAGCCGCTGGGTGCTGGTTTTGGTACTGCAAGCCTACACACACACCAAAAGATTTTTATTTAGAAACGCTTTGCATAGAAACTTATGCATGAAATTTAAATTTAGTTTAGTTTAGAGTACGACAAATAGCAGTAGCTACTGTTACATTTCGTGCACAGAGCCAATATAAAACCATAGGCACATGTCACCCCAAGGGACGGCAGTAATTAAAGTGTTCAACTCCGGGCACAAGCGACGGTTGGCTTTAAATTTCCACAAAAATTTAACAGTCTACATGTAATAAATCGCATGTCCAAAAATAGTACCAAAAGTCATGTAGTGAAAAACAAATAATTATCTATCGCTTAGTCAAACTTCATTTATACCACTACTTGAATTGAATCAAATCAAATCAATCCAATCCTGTTGGGTTGCATGTGATTGAGTTGTTAATGTATTGGGCAGATTCAGCCTTCCATAGGCATACCTACCGCCACCACCGGTTGTGCCTGATCGGCGGCACGACGACGCATCGACGATACCATATTCTACATGCGCTGAAAAATAGGAGACATTATAAAGACTAAACAATGGCAAAACATCATCCAGATTTGATTTTCTGTAGGAAGCAAGCAGGAGTTGGTAAGTGGAGTTGTTATTAAGAATCATCATCATGTAGGGAATGGGCATTCTGTGTCCCCTAGGCCTGCTAGTACTACCTAAAAGACTAACCCACTCCAGCAGGCCTGGGTGGGCCCTAGCTTCGGCCTCCTAGCTAGGTCAGACAGGGGACTCTAGTCGATTTTTGTCGCTCGCCTAGGCCTAAGTAGGCCCTATCTATACTACTAGCCTACCAATTGTTTAGTCTAGGTCTAGCCTAATTAGAGCCTGGCTAGCTCGGCAGCGTTGCTGATTCAGATTACCCAAACCTAGGTATTTGAAAGGATCGATAATTGTCAAAACTAAACTTTCCAAATTCCATTTTTTGCTGGTGCACACATTTTATTTTTCTATTTAAAAGAGAACTAGCAAATGATTTTTTGTTTTAGAGAGGATTTTTGATATGCCATTAGTAATAGAATCAACCTTAAAATCGTTTTTTGGCCTTTTTTTAATGAAGTTATAGGCAATTATATACGATTTTACTATGACGTCACTGGCGAAAGAGTAACAAAAGATAGTGTAAATAGCGCCGCATAGGGTATCCGCTGCGTACGATCTTTGCGTGTACGCTGTAACCATGGCTGTAAATTGTGATTGTTACAGCATGCAGGCAATGATCGTACGCGGCGGATATCCTACGCGGCACTATTTACACGGTCTTTTGTTACTTTTTCGCCAGTGACGTCATGGTAAAATCTTATATAATCGTCTATAACTTCATAAAAAATAGCCAAAGAACGATTTTAAGGTTGATTCTATTATTAATGACATATCAAATATCCACTCTAGAACAAAAATCATTTTGCTAGTTCTCCTTTAAACTAAGAAGAATTCTTCTTCATTGAACAAGGTAGGGCCACATACTATCTAGGCTTCCTAATCCTAGGCTTATTACTACTAGGCCTAGACATTGTTAAAAGTAACAGTGCTCTGTTGTACTGTAGTAAATAAAAATAACTGGAAAGTACAGTATTAATACTATTTAATAGCATTTCTATGATTTCTTTGTCTTGATTACCTTCCTTTTCCTTTGTTTTTTTACTCACTTATTCCTATACAATTTAAATGGCTTTTAATGGTTTTTATTGTTTATTAAAAATTGTATAATGAAATTGATTGTACGTAATGCACAATGTAGCCCTTTTAGCAATTTAATAATTTTATAATGAATTATTCTGAATCTGAATGTTCCAGTATTAATTATTGATTGTCCAAAGCGCCTTAAAGGTTATTTCCGGGCATCTAGGAAACAAACATTTTGCGAGGGCATGCCCGCCAGACCCCCCAGGTTAGTGTCGACTAGGTTAGTAGTTTGTCGCCTAAGAAATCTCTATTGTTTCCTTTCTAGCTATTGGCCGCTTATGTGAAAAGTGTGATGGCAAATGTGTCATTTGTGACTCATATGTACGCCCATGTACATTGGTCCGTATATGTGATGAGTGCAACTATGGGTCATATCAGGGAAGATGTGTGATCTGCGGCGGTCCCGGTGTCTCTGATGCGTACTATTGTAAAGAGTGTACTGTGCAAGAAAAAGATGTGAGTGTCATACTTCAAAATATTATGGACTTTTTAAAATTATTTTCAAAAGTACTTAGTACGCTTATACTATTATTATATGTACTGTAAAGCCCTTTTGTGGCATTTTATTTTTGCATTGGCAATGAGGTAATATTTTCTTTATTTTCAAGTTACAAAGCCCTATTTAATAATGACAAGTTTTCATGCTCAATTTGGGTTTGAAATTTTCTTTATTTTTGTTTGTGTTGCAAACACCCTTCGCTAGATGCGAACAAGCTTTGACGCAAATGATGCAATTGTTTAAAAGATAAAGCGAACAACTCCTCTTAAGATTTTCATGCACCCTTAATTCTCGCGATCATTTATTTAACATGAACATGAAAAAAGTATATAACTTGTGGTAGATAATTGTAGTAAGGTTTTATAACTGATGATTAAGCCATTGATATTAGATTTACTTTTGTGTGTTAGACCATGGAGGTATTATTGAGAAGGAGATCACTCGGCAACAGATCCCTTTGACGCGACAAACCTATCTGTTCCCCGCTTTTGGATCGCGCGCAGGCGTATTACCCAGTAATTCACATTTTTTCGTTAGCAACAACTTGGCAACGACATGCATTTATACGCTTCCAGCTGAGCAGTTGTGCAATAAAACGTTTGATTTTAACCCCATTAAATATCTTTATAATGAACAATGTTCCCCTGATTAGATTTTTTCAGGCTTTTGGTATGCTATTATTTGTATATTTCAGGAACGGATTCCGTAAAATATTTATGTTAAAATTACTTATGTGTTCATTATAATTTTGTCTAAAGATTGACTGGTTCGACTATAAAGCTAAGTCAGCGTAAAACTGAAAAATACTCAGATTTTGGATTCATTTTTCGAATAGTTAACCCTCGTTAACCCTAAAATGCCTTAGTTTATTATAATCCTTAATCATTTATTAATTAAAATCTGTTAAAATTAGAATTGGCGAATTTTAGCCAATTTATGAAAATTGAAGTTGAAATATACTATACTTTTATAGGTCATGTAAATGTTCCATTAAATTCGAAACTTTTCTTTGTGGAAAATATTAATATGTTTGATATTTTATGAGAGATAAATATATCAGCTTCAAAATAGAAAAGATTGCGCAGCCATAGTGATTGACAGTATGTAGTGCGCATTGAGAAAAGAAGGTGCTCTCCAATGTTATAGTGTTAATTATTTACCGTATAATTGAAGCATAGTTATTTAATGATTTACTGTATGTTATCTGTATATATGTAAAATTTTAATCATTGAAGATTTTTGATTACCTGCATCCATGTTTTTTAACAATTCAGTTTGAAAGTAGATAGTTCTGAAAAGAACTGTTGTTGTTGGTTGATAATATCTTGACATTTAGATTTTGAGTTTTGATGCAGCTATAATTATCAATATTGTTAACCTGTTAAAATCTCTTCTCTTGTTTCCTTTTTAGCGAGATGGATGTCCAAAGATTGTAAACCTTGGAAGTGCGAAGACTGATCTGTTTTATGAACGCAAAAAATATGGATTCAAGAAGAGATGATGTTGGAGAAATATCTGAAACTTTATTTATCTTGAGTTGGTTGCATCACATTTTTGACCAATTTTGCTTTCTCTTGGATGTGGAAGGTATATCGTAAAATTTAAGGAACAACTGTGCTGTAGGATATGAACTCTGAACTCAAAAGCATGTGACATGCCTAAATATGGTCACGGTGACATCACATTGTATAGGCACATTATAACTGTATCTGGACACAGGACTGTATACTACTGAATGATCATTAATGAAATTTTATGTTTTGATCAGAATTGTCTAAATCTGAGTATGCAGTACGCTACATACATCGTATGTACACGTCTCCCTCCAATTAAAGACCACTTTTGGGACCTGGGTTCCCATGGTGATTAGCATCTTTGGTCTCTTAAATTAGAATAATAAAGATAAAAGATATTTGTTAATATGCGACCACAGAAAACGTGATCTTTAATTAATAGGTGTACAGTACTGTATTTAATTAAAGGGAGACATCCACTATTACATAAGCAATATTCACACACACCTACCCACACACACACCATTTAACGGTTAACAGGCTCCAAATTAATAACACACGTTCTTCACTATTGCATTCATACAAGAAAATCCCCCATCCAGATATCAAGAAAAATTATTGTTTGATTACTGAATACTGACCAATAGAAAATTGGAAATGTGTACATCTGATTTAGTTAATGATTGAAATGAGGTCAGCTTGCTATCCCATAGCACTTACTAACCAATGTAAATGCACTTCTTGGGAACAGTTAGACGTAACCAACCAGACGTTTTCACACATGTGTTTACGGTTCGGGCTAACGGTTAACTCCCGATCTATGTGAACGTAAGTGTAAACTATTGAGTTTAAAACCATTTTGTTCTGCATTCCCATGTGCATTAACATCTTATACTCGCTACCAGTACCTGATACTTGGATTTTATGTGAAAGACCACAAGAGTACCCAAATATTGTTGGAATAAATTTTTTTAACTTAAAAAATACACTATTTACGAGTGTTATTCTTTTGTTATGGGTATTTTTCAAGAAAAAGATCAGAATTCTGCTAAGTTTGAAATCAATCGGACTTGCCACACTTTAGTTATCGTGGTAACAAACAACATGTGTGAATGCTATGCTATTTGCTCATTTGCGTAATTAATATTTCACCAATCAGGGAAATTATGCTAGTTAACACAAAATACAGTCAAGTCTGATTGATTTCAAACTGCAGAATGCAAGATGGTAAATTATCTGTGTTGGTAAATCATCAACTTCACGCCAGAAAATTTTCGGAAACACCGTCAGAAATGGAATTCTATGGCATACCTACCATCTCGCACGTGCGGGACAGTCCCACATTTCAAAGTGATTTTGGATGAAACACGCATTTTGCAGAAACACGTGTGATCCTAAATTTGTCGTGCATTTAGCACAAAATCTATTGTGTCTAATGAATTATCACGAATTCAAGGGAAATTGTATTTAAATTTAGAAGAAATTGGTTTTATTAAAAATATAATAACGGTCATGCAGTAGCTTGAGTCAATAGAGAGTATATATTTATTAGAGAGTGAATATTTATTTCACTAACGCGTTACTAAAAATTGATCAGTGAAATGTTGGTGTAGGTCTACATAGTTCGGGTGCTCAAACTCAAATTGTATGTGGCTTTATCAAACAATATTTTTGCTTTTGTGTACCCAATATTGCCAACAAACACTCACTGAAATCGTTTTAAAACAGTTTTAATGCTCAGGTCGTCGAAGCACCGGGGGCCACGCCCCCTCGACCTGAGCCTGTCCCCGCCCCTGAATCCTCCTTCCCCCTCCCCCTGCCAACTGGTGTAGTCACTCACGCATTTGAAAACTCTCAGGTTGGTAACTAAAGCTGCGTGTATTCACCTCCAAATTGGCTGATTAAAATGCACGTTCATATTCTTATAATAGTCAAATACACGAATAGAACTTTTTAGTTTCAAGTGAGATTCAGGAGACTAGAAAAGTTCGGCGATGGAGTTTGTCTTGTGTTTATAGATAGAGAATCAACGTAGTAGATAAATAATTGTAATTTTTTATGGTATACTCTTAATAATTTATTGTTTTCTACATTTTCATAAGTTAATAGTTTTAGTTGTTACAGAAGCTCTTGTGGTTTTGGGGTTTCTTTATCAGCCATTTTCTCTAAAGGTTACTGATTATACTTGAAGTTTGCCGTTTTCCACCCCAAGTCCGGCTCATTCTGATCACATGTCGATGGTGAATCCGTCTGGAAAACACCACCCTGATTTCCAACGACCTCAGAATAATACATCGGACTTATCGGAGATCGTGGTGTAATACTTCTTTTTGGCGTTGTCTCTCCCTGATTCGCTAGACCTCGATCATACGATGTTGGGTAACGTGGAGAACTGGGCGATAGGCTTTCGCTTTGAGTGGTATCTCGTTGGAATTTCCGTTCTTTAGTTTCCAGCGCACGTGTGCGCACTCGCTCAGTTAGTGTGCGTAAAAGTGTCTTTGTGTTTTCTAACACTACAGGGTCGGATATCTCTCCTTCGATTTGGGCTTCCAAATCGTCAGCTTCTTGTTTTAAAAGCGCTTCTTGTTGGTTACAAAACGCAATCACCATCTGCATCAGTTGGTTGGACGTCCTTGTGAGAAATAAATCCCATTGCTTGATGAAATTTGCGTCGCAGTTTCCAATCGATGGCTCGAGTTGAATCCGAAGTCCTCTCGGAATTATACCCGACCTAATGTACTGACTTAATGTATACTTATGTAGCGAATAGCGCACCTGTTTGTCAAGAACCTTGCGAAGTTTTCTGAAGGTGTCTTCGGCGACTTTCGGCACCATGGTGTCGCCTGTTGAGCTAGTTGCCTGTCCTGTTTGCATGTTTGTTTTCCCTTATAAACTTCAAAGCGTTTTAGACAAGTAACTTGGTCAAAATGTTTGCCCACTTCGATGGAAATAAGATGTTAAGAAGCGCCAGAATCGGACACCTGCTCAATAAGCCATAGGCCTAGTAACTCTTCAACAATAAGGGCACACACTGAGTTAGTTTCAGATTCACGAATTGTCATGGTGATAGAAAAACAAGTACGCTACGTTCCCAAGCATAGCGCTATTTCCATGGAAGCAAGCTTGACGCGTAATTATTGGAACCAGTGAGACGCGCCTTTAACAACACGGATAAATCCACGTCTTTTTAGTGTGCAGCAATACGGAAAATTCCCGAATTTATATTATAAATAGCCATCGGAAGCACTTTGCAAGTGGTATGGCCATTAAGAGCGGGCTGGGGAGGGGTAAAACATGTTTGGCTGTTAAACAAACCCACTACGGGTAAAGGATGTAAAACTAGGCCTAGTGGGGTCAGGACCCACATCAGGCCCACCATTGTTGGTGAGCATTTTTGGCACTTTTTTGAATGCCCGGAATTCAGATTCTATGTTAACAAATAAATAATTTGAAAATACAGAATTTTATATACTTTTCTTAAAAATCCATCTAATTGTTGAATATTTATTTTCTTAGTCTTATTACCTTACTTATCATTTACTCTTTTTTCCATGTCTTTTTTACCTTTACCTTTATTTTCTTTCATACTTACGACCTGTCTCTCATTACTTTTGCTTCCCTGTAATTTCATTCTTTAACCTTTTCTTCCCCTACCCCCTTTTCCTACTTTCATTTTTCTACTTCTTTTCATGTTTCCCCGTTCCTTTTTCTTTTCTTACCTTATATTTTCCTTTTCTTTTCTTTCCACATTTCTACTTATTCTTTCCTTTCTTTTCCTTGCCAAACCTCCTCATTTTCTTTCTTTTTCTTAGAAATCCACCATGCGCTTTTTTTTTTGTATTGTAAGTAAACTTCACCTATTTTTTTCAATCCTAAAGTTGAGTAATCAAGATTGATTTTTGATCTAGCGCACTCGCGCGTGCCAACACCAATGACTTTGAAAATCGAATAAAAATAGAAAAAAATATATATAATTTCGTAGATTTTTATTTTTCTTGTCGACTAATATATATCAATATATATACATATATATATAGTCTTTTAAAAATCATTTAAACAATATATAATTTTAACTCTTTTTACTCTCTTCTTGACAAAATATGGTATCAAAATTTTACTGATTTTCATTTTTCCTCTTCCCTTTTTGTTGTTAGTTTTCTTTCATTTTGGTTTCTCTTTTATTCGTTTTACTTGTGATCCACTTGTGATACCAGTGCTACGTCACTGAAAGTGTTATCACACAAAAGACAGAAATAAATAAATAAATAAAATATATATATATATAAGTATATATACGACTATATACTACCATAGGGGGAAACGATAACAATGGAAAGGG